AAGATTCAACTTTCTGCACCAACCATACCTAGATCTAAATCAATTTTAGAAAAAGGAAAAAAGAATTGTACTAAGGTTGTAGTCAGTGAGGCCCATTGCTTGAGTGCATCCTGAAAAGCTTTGAAATGATTACAAAGTGTCTCAGTAAAGTGGGTCTGCGTGCAGACCTCAAAATTAGGGTGCAAGAAATCGCCAACTCCACGCACATCTTCTGAAATAATGAAAAGATATGTTAACATGAAATTTAGGGTGCAAGAAATCGTTCTTTGTGGAGAATTTAAACTATTAGGTAGATCTGTTCTACTGTGTAAGAATCAAAAACATGAAATCTAAATCCCTAAATGATGGGAATATCTTACCAAACATAAAAATAAAATATAACATTCAAAGATATGTTAACAGCCTCTTACCCGGAAATCGCGGTCGAGTCGTGGGCGCTGCAGGGAGAGAACTATGCTTATCATTGAATCACTCCTCATCAAAATCATTTCCGCGGTTGTAAAATAAGTAAACATAAAGAAAGATATGTTTTCACTAAACTCATCAAAATTCACAATTCAACTCCTCATTTAAACAATATTTAATGACTACTTAGTCACATTGTAATATCGATATGTTTTAAACAAAAAAATCATCAATATTTTATCATATAAATTATTAACTTTCATTTTAAAGATTTTATATCAATTTAATTAAAAGCTATAATCAGTAAAAGAAAGTGAGATGTTTTTTAGTTTTAAAAATATTTCTTGCCGTTTAAAAAATATGAAAGTACATAAAACGAAAGCAAACAAAAAATATATTAATAAACACACACATAATGTAGCTGTTTCGGGGGTGGGTCTTGGCTAGGGGCATGGTCGAGAGTCAAATGTAGCTGTTGGCTCGGTCATCGGATTTCCGGGGGAGGGAGCTGTTGTTTAATTTAGATTTTGGGTTTTAGTTTTGCTATCTGGTTTGTTTTGTAGGTTGTCTTTTATTTTGCTCAGTGTGTTTGTTTATTTTTGTTTCGGAGATGAATACAGGCTAGGCATTGTGCAGTGGCTCTGTTTTTCATTTTCCTTTATTTTCGTTCGTGAAGTTTTCTAGGCCGCCATGTGCGTGTCCTCTCAGTCTTCCTGCTTGTTTTTAGGAGTATTTTTGGTTTGGGTCGTTGGCCCCTGTCTCATTACCCTGTTGGGGCCTTAGATTACCCTGTTAGGGGCTTGTAATTTGTTCCTTTACACTTTTGTGCTCTTCTATATTATCTCTATCGTTTCGGAAAAAAAAAATAAACACACACATAATCATACAATTTAGTTATTAGTTTCTTATTTTCGTCTTGATATATTATGAGATGTTTTTTATGTTTACACTCGGTACGAATATTTGTGAACTCTAAAGCACCATTCAAATTATTTATTCTCCTTGACTCCTTGCTAAGAAAGTGAAATAGTAAATTGTTATTTTTCAGCTTGAGTGATTTCGGCTTGTTTTGGAACGACACCAAAATTTCCAAGTACATGGGCACCCCAATTGTGGGTAGTTTGAAAACTGAAAAATTATCATTGATTGTTTAGGACACGATTGAATATGAACTCTAATATTATTCGATTGTTTTTTTGTTTATTAACGGTAAATTTTTTAAAAAGGTAGTATGGTTAATTGTCAAGGAAAACTTTAAATTAAAATAAAAAAAAAAATTCCCGTATTTCAAATACTTCGTACACTGGCTAACAAATTATTGGGTGATCTTTTAATGATTTTAAAATAAAATAATTAAAATTTGATTTAATGTAAAAATTAGCAGAAACTTTATTGAAAGTTATGTTTAAGCTTCAGATTTGTTTGCACCCATATTGCTGAACTGACAAGAAAGGAAAGAGAGCTCTCATCAAAGTGGCGCTAGGAAAAAACATCCATGAAAGAAGTCACGCATGTCAATATATACATAAATTTCATCTTATAGAATATATCAGAGAGGTTAAATGAACAACTCAATTATAATATTATCCTTTTTTTCAAAAGATAGTTTATGTTTCTAGATATATCTGTGAAGGGCTTAAAATTTGGGCACACGTACTCAAATATACTTTTTTCTTCTAAGTGAAATTTATGCTTCTAAGTATATTGGGTAGGTTAATTGTAACAAGACACTGGACTCAATTTACAAAATTGTTCAACGCTCTTTAGAAGCCAAAAACGAAAACAAACTTGCATTTTATACAACTGGCCATTTAGTTAAAAAGCAACTATAACAGATTTCTAATGTAATTTATATTGTAATATTTTCAGCTTCTTGTGTTGTTAAGTTATATGTTTAATATTTCTTTGTGCGAGCTAATAATCAAATGGTGCCTTTAAAAATACGCACCTACATTTTAAACCCCAAGAATAATAATACTGAAGATTATAAATGTTAATATAGTAGAACTCAAAGAACAATATTTATGGGTTTAAATATCATCCAATTGCACTCAAAAGAACCACAACCCAACAACACTCAAAAGAACCACAACCTAAATCACTGCCCAAACCACACTCACAAAAGTTGAACTGGCAAAGTTCACTATAAGATAAAAGGACTGAAGTTCTAATAATTCACCCCACTATGCAAAACAACACGTCAACAGTTATTGTACTCTAAAATACACAATATTTACATCCAACACAACACCAAAGTTTATGTTATGTCTCAGTTTAGCTATAGTATCACCATCATGACTGGGAGGAAGAATTTTCACTGGGTTGGTGTCCACACTGAGCGAACAAATCACAAGACCAGTCATGGTTTCCATGTATAATCTGCAAAACAAAGATGCAATTGTCATGAATGAACCAAACTTATTAATGCAGTGCATAACAGAACTCCCTGAAAAGATCATCAGAACAGCAACCTAAGTTTGTACAAAATACTAATAAGTTAGTTTCCAAATCAGCACTTCAGTGAAATACACATGTTCTAGCAGGAGAACAACTTTAAAGAATGAGACCTTTCACAATAATAATTGTATTTCAATCCGCGCATAAACAATTAACACTAACATTGTGCACAACTAACCTGAACTTCTATGCCTTAAACAATTTCAGCTGCCTGCAAAACTTCTGTGTAAACAATATTTCTTGTGTAATTCAGCCGATGTTCATTGTAGAAAGGCGGCTTTATCAGAAGCTTTACAGATGCAGAAGTTTTAGCGCGTGACATTGCAACATAAAGTTGCCCATGCGAGAAAACTGGTTCTCTCAAATATACGCCGACGGAGTCTAATGTCTGTCCTTGTGCCTTGTTTATTGTCATTGCGAAACACAGACGTAGGGGGAACTGTGTGCGTGTGTAAGGAACGGGATATTGCTCATCGGTTGGAGGCTCAAATGGTATTCTGTGTATGAAAACACTTTTGCCGCAGAACTCACCAACTGCAATTTCTGCATGAATGACATTTTTATCTAGTTTTTTACAAATAAGTCTTGTGCCATTACATAGTCCTTCGGTAGGGTCTAGGTTGCGTAGCAGTATAACCGGTGCATTTTCCTTTAGGCTGAGCCTATGCTCTGGTAAACCACTCGGTGTAAGCGAATTGATGAGGTCGCCATATTCAGCCTCATGAGATGGATTTTCAACTCTATCAAAACTCAAGTATTCCACTAAATTTCCTGGAAACTCATTAATAAGCTTCGTGTTTACCTCATCAACAAAACAATTCTTTGACGTTAAAATGGCTCGATTTATGGACCGACTCACCTCTGTTAAGCTTGCTAGATCTGGATATATGACTTTTATGAGTTCATCCAACGACTCCTCAGCCATAGGGTCATTAATTGCTAGAGGAGCAGGGATCTTTATAAGATCATCTTCAAACGTCTTTTCCTGCCCATTGCCTATTTTTAGAAGTGTCTGAGTAAACAAAGGGTCCAAACGCGCCCTCATATTTTCTGTAAGCTTCAGTTTTTTAAGTAAAGGCCATAAGTATGAGCTAGTTAGACAAGCATCAACAGTTTCTTTCCTACTGCCCCTACGGACCACTAGAAGCACTTGCCTAAAATCGCCTCCAAATACTATGACCTTACCGCCAAAAATTTCAGAACATCCACAGACGTCTTTAAGCGCAAGATCAAGCGCCTCTATGGCATCCCTTTTAGCCATCGGTGCTTCATCCCAAACAATTAGCACACTCTCCCGAATTAAGGACCCTAAACTACTCTGTTTACTAATACTGCAAGACTTGACATTCGACAAATCAATAGGGATTTTAAACCTTGAATGCGCCGTCCTACCGCCGGGTAATATGGACGCAGCAATACCAGATGTTGCGGTGGCCAGGCCTATACAACCTTTTGACCGGACAACTGCAAGCAAGGCCCGGTAAAGAAAGGATTTACCTGTTCCCCCAGGTCCATCCACAAAAAAAGCACCGTTTTTCCTATCATCAATGCATTTCATGATCACATCATAAGCTTTTTTTTGTTCTTTATTCAGTAGGTTAACGGTGTTCAAGTCCTCCTCAGAAACAATTATACTTCTCTCAGCATCAACCTCACAAGTATTTTTTTCGGAGCAGAAATTAAAATCAATAGGTAATAAATTGAAAGACCGGATATTCTTACCCATAGATTCCAAAAAATAGCCTACTTGTGCAAGCGCCTTTACTTTTGCCTCTACGGCAGTTAATTTAGTGTCCCTAAAGAAGTCTGCACACAGTTCCCCCTCAAATTTCTCCCACAATTGTCGTGGATTATTGGGGCATGCGTAAACCAACAGATTCGAAAATAAGCGGCGCATCTCGTAAGGCATTTGATACCGGGAGGTATCCTGAAGACACAAATCCTGGCTGTTGTCATCCTCTAAGAACCCTCGATGAAGTGCCGCTTCTCTAAAATTCTCAGAATACCTGCCATTAAAAAACAAAAGATCATCAAAAGACTTAGGACACCGAACTTTTGACAAAAGTAATCTAAGATAATAACGTTCTCCCTCGCTAATATGTACAGTTACTAATCTACCAACACAGTCACGCTTTATTCTTTTTCTCCAACGTCTTTCGGTTGGCAGCCACACAAAATATTTTGGAAATTCTAGATAAGTCAAGTTTTTCTTCTGCGCATATGGATCATTAGCATCCATGTAAAAGAATTCAGTAAGCATAGTTTTCCTGTTATGAGGGTTATTTACAATTCTATGCAGTCTATCATTCTTTTTAAAAGAAATGCGCTGATAGTTCTCCAGATGCACTTGAAAGTGAATTACAGTAGGTTTGATGTCCCCCATATAAAACCTAAATATACGCCAAGCTGCCTCAGGTGGCGATATCCAACGCGCTGTACGATATTGCTCTATCTCATCAACTTCCTGAAAAGGCTTGTCTGAATCCACATGGAACGCAATTTTATCATGCCCCTTGCAAATGTACTTATATATATATTTAACGGCCTTTATTGTTGAACAGACTTCCACATTCATATGACAATTGAACTTTGCAATAAGATATGGATTATACGGAATTACCCACCTGTTATCCAATTCATGACCCCTAACCTTTACACAAATGTTATTATTGCGACGCTTGTACTTAGGGTAAGCATCACTTATATGAGCAGTGTAGTCACAAAATTCCTTAGGGTACAAATTTTTACATGTTCCTGTTCTTTTCATGCAGGGATTCTTAGGGTTCATCTTACCACAAGGACCATGCAACATATGCTTGATAACCATATTATACAAATGAGGTGAAGTAACACGAAAGGATTAGTCATAGTTTTTCCGTGTGGGGGAAAAACGTTTTAAACTAAACATGACCAAAACATGAACCAACATGGGTAACCTGTGTTAACTGCACGACTTGTTGAAGGGGACTCGTCCATTCCACCTTGGGCGACCGAAATGTGTAAAGTGCTACTATCCTCACCAACAGAATCTCTGCCAGTCTTCTGAGCAGCATCGTGCAAAGCGCTGGGTATTGAATTTTCATGCGCATGTGACTCATCC